CCCTTCGTCACTCTTTGTGCATCCTATACTCCCCAAATTTTCTTTGAAGATTTAGGGACATAAGAACATAAGGACCTGCCTTATGACCTAGCCAGACTATTGGTCCATCTAGCTCAGCACTGTCTTACTCTGACTGGGACTCAGACAAGGGCCTCTGCCAATCCTACCCTAAGCAAGCCAGGGATTGAACCTGGAATTTAGAGCATGCAAGGGAGATGCTTTCCCACTGAACTATGGCCACTACCAAACACCCTCCACCCCACCCCACCCCCCAGTTGCTGTGCAAACCTGTATAGCAGGGATCCTGTTCTATTGCTATCATTTCCCTGTGGGGTGTACATCTCTGGGAAATCAGGATTCTACAATGCATGGGACCCCTCCATAAATATAGGAGTGTCCCCATTATGGCTAGCCATCCTCAGCTTGTGGGGTGCAAAGGGGATGGCTAGTGGGGATAGAATGCTCACCCCACTCCCCATGCTGACATGTTTTGCTTACTTGTGAACATGATGTCTGTTTGGAGAGTTTTCTTTTTTAAATCCGTGTGTTGTTGTTGAAATATATATAAAAATAAAAAAAAGTCCAGTAGCACCTTAGAGACCAACAAAGTTTGGTTTTGGTATAAGTTTTTGTGTGCATGCACATGAAAGCTTATACCAACAACAAACTTAGTTGGTCTCCAAGGTGCTACTAGACAATTTTATCTATATCTATATCTATATCTATATCTATATCTATATCTATATCTATATCTATATCTATATCTATCTATATCTATATCTATATCTATATCTATATCTATATCTATATCTATATCTATATCTATATCTATATCTATATCTATATCTATATCTATATCTATATCTATATCTATATAAAATATTTCGACTGCATCAGACCAACATGGCTACCTACCTGAATCTAGAACCATGGAGTTGTTGTTGTTTTTATTAAGGGATGGGGTATGTGCCAGGGAAGAGAGGAGCTGGGGAGAGGGGGGCAGCAATCACAGTAGTTCAGGGTAGGGGGAGGTAGGTGTGGCAGGTTTGGAAGGTCAGGTAAAGGGCACATGGCACAGGCAGTTATTGACTGTGACATGTGCCAGTCCATCGTCCAACCTGGGGAACTGTGGTTGTCCTATCAGGTCTGTAGCCACTGCTGCTGAATGCCAGATCAGCTCTAAATAAGACCTCCATCATCCATCATTGAGAGTTGGGTGGATAAGCAAGGTGGAGTTGGTCTCACCCAGCTGTGCCCACTTGGGTACTCGGTGTAGCATCGGGGCAGACATGATAGGGAGGAGGAGTTGCTGTCGTCTATTTCTCCTCTCTCTCTCTCTCTCTCTCTTTCTCTCTCTCTCTCCAGGCTCTCTGTCCAGTTGTGGATCTAGAGTTTGTGTTCCTGGCATTGAGTAATCAGGACAGATTAGGGATTCTGCTAGTTTACCACCCAATAGTCTCCCTGCCTGAGCTGGCAGAGCTGGTTGTGGAGCTGGTGTTGAAGACTCTCAGACTGCTGGTTCTAGGGGACTCATTCATTCGGAGGCAACTGGCTCTGGGGAGGCTCAGGACTTCATAGCTACCATGACGACCATGGGGCCATCCCAACGTCATTGAACCAATGCTTGTGGCAGGCCACACTTTGGACATTGTTTTGTCAACTGGGGAGGAAGAGGGTGATCTAAAAGTGTAGGATATTGACATCATTTTCACAAGTAGTGGCTCCATTGCAACCCACCCCTCGACCCTACATGGACCCCAGGCCCCAAGAGGGGGTAGAGAAGGCTTGGTGGACCCTCTCCCTGTGACCAGATTGGACCTCTCCTCATGCCCTTGCAAACCCTTGATGATGCCATCCTTCCTTTGCGTCTGGCTCGGATGCCTTTTAAAAATTTGCTCTGATGCCTTCCCAAGTTAGAGGCTGGCCACCTCCTGGGACAAGGAACAGGCTGGCCACACCACACTTGGCTTGACTTGGTTGTAAAGATCCTAGCTTGAGACAAATGCAGCAGCAGCAGCAGCACAAAAGCAGGTTCTGCCACCAATGCTTGGGGAGAAAAGGCGGGGTGCCTTCCTCTTTTTTGCACTTCTAAAACACACCCATTTTAGAACACTGGAGTCATTGGCTCCTGCCATCATGTGCCAGTCTAGACACTTTGGTGGCACCAGGCTGCACTTGGTTATGGAAGCAAGGTTATTGCTGGGGGAGCACCAAATTATATCCCCGCCTCTGTCCCCATATTAACCAACCCAGACCCTGCAATCATAATCTGAAGCCCCTTTTTCTTTGCCTCCTCCATGAGAGGCAAAGAGAGCAGCAACACAAGATTGGGCCTTTTCTGCAGTGGCTCCCCTTGTGCCTTCATTACATATATTTTGATGCCCGGCAAAAACATTCCTCTTCTCCCAGGCCTTTGGCTAATTAAACAATCTATGGCCTTTTAAACTGTGGGGCGGGGTGTGTGTGTGTGTTGTTTTTTGTTTGTTATTATTGTAAGTGGTTTTGTGGTTTTGTATTGTAAACTGCTCTGTGATTCTCAGATGAAGGGAGGTATCAAAATTTATTAAATTAATAAATAAATGCCTAAATAGGTTTGTGCTTCAGTCATGTGTGGATCTTTGACATAAGGAGGGGCCTTAACTGAAGAGATCTGACCCCTGATATCCTAACCAAGGTGTTTTGGTTTTTTAATTCATATCCGTAGCAATAGACAAATAATTTCTCAGATGCTACCTCTGGGGTTAGATTAGAAGCCAGCCTGAGCTTTGCATTCAAGACAAAATCAGTGCCCACCAGGATGTATTTGCCCCTCCAGCATATTTGTCTAGGAAAAGCAATATTCAAATAGAAGCATTTTATGCATGACAAATACTCATCTATCTGGAGTTAAAAGAGATCTGGTAATTCTATCCATGCCAGTTCTCAGCTGGCCTGGAGGTATCTGCTTTAGATGAGAGAGTGTCCCAAAACATTTTCCGTTTGACATTTTAGAGACGCCCCCCTCTGTTCCCCCCCTTTTTATTCCCCTGCCCCAAAGGTTTACCACTTTAATCTTTTTAGCTGTCTCGTCAAGCCTTGCAGGCTTTGCAGGGATAGATTTTGATGTAATTTAGAAGTGTAAATGACTTTGTTGATTGATTTAAGCAAAGCAGTTCCCCCTCCCCCCCAAAAATCACATATAAGCAGATAAACATAAGAAACTAAGAGAGAGTAAAGGGAGGCAGCATGAAGGTAAAACACATGACAGACAGCAGCTGCTTTTGTGAAAGCAAACAGGGTAACATTAGGCAAGGAACAGATACCATGGGGGCAGGAGTTAATACTGCAAAAGCCAAGGGATCAGAATTGCTGGGATGAAAGCATTAAGGGCAGCTCACTCTATTTGCTTAGGGTATTTCCTAATATCACAGGAGAGGCCACATATGACTGGAATTCTGCATGCTTTGCATCAAGAAGGCCTAACCAGGTTCATCCTTTAGCATCTTCAGTTGAAGTGAGCTCAGGGACCAGGTCTGCTGCTAGGTAAAGCCTGGTATCCTGGGACAACGGGTGAAGCCCATTGTTGATGCCTACCCTGGACCCTAGTTGTTAATTTATTTTCGGGCCTAGCACTCTGACCAGCATCACTCTGGCAGCATTTTAATTTCCCACAATGCTCCCAACCTTGTGTCTGGCATGAGAAAGGGCTGTAGCTCAGTGGTGGAGTATCTGTCCCAGGGTACAAAGGTCCCAGGGTAAATTGCCAGCTTCTCCAGGGAAGGGCTGGTGGAGACCCTTGTCTGATATCATGGAGACTTGCAGCCAGTCAATGCACACAGTGCTGAACTACATGGACCAATGGTCTCACTCAGTATAAGGAAGCTTCCTATATTCCTACTAAATATGTGACTAAATAAAATAGTTGTAAACTGACATATGAAGGTAAAGGTTCATATGTGATAGAAGAAAAGCAGGTCTTCATAGCCTTCATATTCTGGGAACAACCACCAAGAAGAACTGGCCCCATGTGCCCACCATACCTCAGACAGTGGTGGAGCAGACCCTTCTTGGAGGATCAAAGTGTATTGGCAGGTTCATATGGGTGGAGATGGTCCTACAGATACTCAGTTATCAAACGCTTTGGGGCTTTAGGAGCAAATCTGGGAGTTAGGTTTGGGTCAGAAACAAAGTGAAGCTGGTTGAAAACACTGAAAGAGGTCTAATGGGGGTTGGCAGTTCAAAGCATGGGGTTCAATTGGGGTTCAGTGCATGTTGAACTGTTCACATGCAAAGCAACTGTGGCGATTTTAATGGTAATCCCCACATCACTTTTTTCATAGCTGTCAACTTTTCCCTTTTTAAAAAGGGAAATTCCCTTATTCTGAATAGGATTCCTTGCAGGAAAAGCGAAAAGTTGACAGCTATGCTTTTTTTAAACAACAACAACAACAACAACAACAACAACAAACATTCTTTCCAGTTTGCTACTATATGCCTGATTTAATATTAAAGACTCATGGTCCTCCACCATTGTACCATATGCACTGCTAGTGCACTCATGGTTGGGGACAAAGGCCGTGAATGTTCTAGCAACTTCCGTCATTGCCCATGGGAATCACAGGCTTGCTGATTAAAGTCACTTCCATGACTTCTGAACTGGAAAGGCAGCATACGTCATCACAGTAGAATGCTTCACAACACCCCGCAGGCTCATCTAGGAGGTACAGGCCCATTCCTGTGGCAAACTACTCTTCAATAAATCAGAAAGCCCTGTGTTTACTGCAAGAAAGCATTATAGCCAGTAACGGCTTTATACCAGAAGTGTTGCAGAATTATGAACTGTTAATAATAGACAAGCACCAGCATTCACACAGGTTCCCCTTCTGGGATTCATCTTCTCTCTTTCGCCCTCTCTCTTTTCTGTTCTGCTATTAATTTGCACTGATTGCCATACTGGCAATAAAGATCTGAACCCATGAACTGTGGAAAGACTGCTGTATGGGTAACTTGTATTTCAGTACAGTTTGATTCAATCAGCAAGTGATGTGTGGCAGGCATGAATGAAAACATTAACTGTTACACTGGTGAAAGAACAGAAAAATTATGTTTGAAGTGACGCATAAATGTCTGTTAAAGATGAAGCTTTGCTACTCCAAAGGACTCAATCCTTAAACCTTTGAGAGGGAAGATTTTTGCCCCTCCCCTTCCCAAAGGACAATATGAAGGACGCCATATGTACCTCTCTTGGAGGAGACTTCTGGAGCATGGGGGCTGTCACTGAAAAGGCTCTGCTCTTTATGAAGGCTTATCTAGTTTCTGCATAAGATATGGAGCAGGACCTCAGCAGCATCTACTGTACTAGGGGAGACCTCAGATGGGAGGACACATCACGGCCGACAATTTAAAGCTGTAAAGGTCAAAACCAGCACTTTGAATTGGTCCTGCAAATGAACTGATCTTTATGTGAACAGCCCCAAGAATCGTTCGTGCCTCCACAAGGATTACCCCATCCCCCGCCACAAAAACTGATAATAAAAAAATGCAGTCAGTGGTAGAAGGCTTTACATATATTGGAGTCCCCCCACATGCTGCCCCAGAGAATTTGTGGGCTCATAATGAGGATGATTAGAGTTGTTGCTGTTTTTAGCCCCAGGAGCCTGATTATCCCCATTGGTTTCTCCCTGCTGAGCATTAAGCCACCTGCCTTTG